ACGACTACAAGAACCTGTCTCCAGAGCACAGATCTACAGTGGTTGAAGGCACAGCCGCAGGAACGCTGTCTTCAAGTGTAGAGCAAACTACTCTACGCGAGATCACGGGTGTAGCTCGGCCAAGGCACCTACCAATACGATATCTGGCTGGGCGAATGACCCAAGCCAGTCTGGGCGTGAGGGGTACGCTGGATCTACCAATAGACACATTCCGGAGTGTCCATTTCTTGCATATTACGCTTTGGGAGCGATTATTTCTTGCATTGTTCTGGTTTTCATTTATCGTGATTTAATACCCTATGAGATTGTTGTTGTTTGTGTTACTGTGATACACCATTTATATCTTCAGCAGTACCTTGGCCCGTCATCTTACTCGGGCGACTTCGCGATGTCATCTAGACCGGATACCTGTTGCTAGATTTAGATCAGACAGCGATGTACATCAAATACTTCTAGAACGCCATTTCTTTTCGACTACTTCACTCCCACCAACAATCGTCCACCTCTGTCAAGACCGTGTCTCACTCAAAACTGATTGTCCACGGGCGATACGAAATCTGGGATTACGGTGCTGCTGACTGTTGGCGACTCAAATGCAGACTTCGTGTAAGGGGGGCAGTATGAAACGACACGCTGCTAAATTTATGACCAAAGAATACCAAAGCATTGCCGATCAAGAAGACGGACAGTCGACTGGGATAAGCACTAATGCTTTCGGGCTTTCTTGGATCGAAGACTATTGATATTTGCTATCTTTACCTGAAACAGACCGAAAAACAGCTAGTCTAGTACTATGACTAGCCCCTGGTAGCCCAACCATGTGTTTGTTGGCCTGGAGGCTAGCAGGGAATCTGACTGAGCCTGAGGCACTAAGGTTGACACGTGGCTGTCTTCTGCATCGAAGTCACCTGACCAAGTCGATGTCGTAAGGACCGCGGCTCTTCCGATGCCTGAATTCCCAGGACGCATGACTCACTCAACCCACTCCACTCACTCGCATCGAAGATGGTCCGTCTCCCTTGATCAGCCCGCTTGTTTCTTCGTTTACATATCTCCTGCAATTGGATTCAGAAACACACTTTCACGCGTCCCGTTGGCCAACTAGTGCCTAGTCTGTTTGTCTCTAGCTACTGCATTCCCTCCCAAGATGCTTGTTATAGTATCGATCTATGGTCATTGCGAAGGACTACGTACATTAGGCTATACCAAAGCGCGTCGAATATAGGAACCTGCAGTGAAGCGACTCAGTCAGAGGTCCTGCTAGGATTATACAATTCGTGCTGACTGCTGTCAACATCCACAATTTATCGTTATCACTCCGAATTTCCTGCCACTTAAATTCTACTCGACCACCACTCATAATGGCATCAGTATTCACCTATGACCCCGATCCTCCTAGGGTCTCTTCGCCGTGGTCGACATCAGGCTCCTCAACACCCCAGATGGCAGCGGCTACCAGCAACCGCGTGGTGCCCCGGACCCGATCCAGCACGACGCTGGACCGGGCCGACCCTGACCTGCTTTCCGATTATGGCATTGCAAAGCTGGAACCCGAACCACAAGAGGGTCCTACCGAGTACAAGTTGCATCTGCTGCTGCGTCCCCGTCGTCCGTTTGTCGCCATGTCCACGGGCCACCTGGTGGGAGGCTCGTATCATTTCCGAGTGAGCCTCTCCAACGCAAGCCCGACACCCTCCAGCTCCGAGTCAGCTGCCCGACCGCCGCAGGCTCGCTCCACGGAGAGTCGTCAACAGAGACTGCAGCACCTGACTACGCAGTTACTCTGGCGCCTGCAGCAGTCGTCACCATTCCACTCATCTACGACTGCCAATTTGGTCCTGCCCGTGCTCCCTGACGCAGCCCCTCAGCTGGGGGCGCCGCAAAAGCCAGCTAGGTTGCTCCCGGGTCTCGAGGAGAGTCAGGGAGCTCTGTATGAGATAGGGGTTGCCGACGACGGGACCTTTGTCGGACTCACCGTGGACGAGCTGGAAGAAAGTTTGTCCACTCTGCAGGTCATGGCGGCCAGCCTTGGCTGCAAGGTCGAGATCCTGCGTAGGGTCATTGTTGGCAAGTGCGAGTGGGTGGAAGACTCCTGCAGCGCGAAAGCCGATACCGGCAAGGTTCATACGGATAGCCTCTGGGTGGCCGAGGCCCTCGTGAGTCCTGATTGGGAGTTTTACCGGGTCAAGTCTCCGAAGTCAGGCGCAGGGGAGGACGGGTCTTCGACGAGTGCCCCCAAGAGACGGCCTTCGCTAGACGACTCTTCCAAGACAGAGCAGATCCGCGTCTCTATCTCGGGCCCCAGCGCAGCCGGCAAATCTTCACTTCTGGGCACGTTGACCTCGTCTGTGCTCGACAATGGTCGAGGGGCCAGTCGACTGGGTTTACTGAAGCATCGGCACGAGATATCATCAGGGATCACCAGCTCTGTTGCCCACGAGCTGGTTGGATACGCCTCTGACGAGTCTAGTCCCGATACCATCGATGTGATCAACTACGCTTCTGGCAATATCGCCGCATGGGATGACATCCATGCCGCGTCGGAGGGCGGCCGACTTGCTTTCGTGTCTGATCTTCCAGGCTCGGTCCGGTATTTGAAGTCGACTTTTAGGGGTATCATCAGCTGGGCTCCGCATTATGTTATCCTCTGTATCCCGGCTACAAGTGACGATGATTTAGTGGCGGATATTGCCCACGGTTCGTCTGAGCAGTCTACTGAATTATCGCAGGCCCTGTCGCATCTGGAGCTTTGTGCCAAGCTCGGGCTTCCTACAGTGATCGTGATTACTAAACTGGACATCGCGTCCCGCACCGGCTTGAAAAAAAACCTCGCGCAGATCCTCTCGGTCCTGAAGTCGTCCGGCAGAAAGCCTTCGATGTTGTCTGTATCGGCGGCCCCTGCTGGAGATTTGCAACATGTTGGGACCAAGGACGCAGGTGAAGTGAGAAATCTCGTCGCTTCGACACACAGTTGGCAATCTACCGTACCTATTGTTCTTACAAGTGCTGTGGACGGCTCGGGGATAGCGAAGCTGCATGCGCTGCTGCGTTATCTCCCGATACCCGCACGGCCGCCTTTGAGGGACGTTTCTCTACCAAAGGCCCTCGCCCCTCCAATTGCGTTTGAGACGGTTTTTGACGTTGACGAGGTCTTTGCTATCCCACTATCAAAGGTCCATTCTCTATCGGGTGAGGAGCGACAGAAGGAGACGCACGGCATTGTTCTTTGCGGGCTAGTCCGGTATGGAGCTATTTCGGCCGGTGATGAGCTAGTCATTGGGCCTGTCTTATACAATACTGCTACGGAGCATGGAACCGGCACTTCTGCCCCCAAAGACCGGACGGATAGACGCTCGGACACACAGCTATCCTCGAGTTCCTCCCGGAGTAGGCCGCCATCCGGGGACTTTTCGAGTTCGTTCCCTCATGGCTCTCTTCCCGGGAAGACCCCTCTTGCGGCGCAGGCAAGCTGGCAGCGCGTGCGGGCCGTCAGTGTCCGCAACCTGCGGCTGCCGGTGCAGAGCCTAACCCGGGATCAAGTAGGGACCATCGGGATCGAGCCCTGGCCACTCTCAACGGACGGGGAACGACCCCAACTCGGCAAAATCCGCAAAGGGTCCGTGTTGATCAAGATCCCGCCTGACTCCGCACCTGCCCCCCGCAAGTTCCACACCGGTTTCGTGGCCAGCTTTGCGGCAAGCGAATTTGCATCTGCGTTGTCCCCACCTGTGCTGTTGGGTGGCCATGCGACGGTCTACGTCGCCAATGTCCGCTCGACAGTGCGGCTGACCTGCATGGCGCTCGCGGAAGATGAGGTGATTTCGCGCCCCCCATCCCCGACGGAGCCGGAGTTCTTCAGCTTCGATGGGGATGGCCCTGATCCGGACCGTGGGCGGGAGCATGGTGTGCACGAGGTGATCAAGTCCTCGGGTAGCTCCGAGGCCGGTGAGATCAAGATCACATTCCTGTTCGTCTCCTCGGTTGAATGGGTGGAGATCGGATCGCGGGTGCTTCTGATGCCTGCAGCGTCCACCGGCTTGGCTTCCACTCAGGGGTCGAGCTCTTCTTCTGGGACCGGGCTTGAGGGCTTCGTTGGTCGGGTTTGTGATGTGTTGTATGCGGGGGAGGCGAACAGTAAATAAGAATGTCGGTAGGATTGGGGGATGATTGTTCTTATTTGAAGTTGGTATAGTGGAGGTGTGGTAAATGTCTTGTGTTTCTTTCCGATTAGCTGTACCAGTCAACTTTTATGGATTTCAGTGTTCATAGCATAGTTCATGATACGAAGAGAATTTGTATACCTTTGAAAGAAGTGGTGACGATGGGAAGCTGCTGGATACGATAAGATACGGGGGTGGGAAACGGCACTAGACCTGGATAGGATAGGCATGCAGCGCTCAGACCACGGCAGCTTTCTTAATTATTTTGACTGGGTTGACTATCTTAGCTTGAGTTAGACTGCTTTAGTTAGTTAGACTCAACTGACTTAACTAAACTACTGCATGGCTGACGCCAAGTGGACAGGCTGAAAGCTGATCTATCTTCCTCCTTCACTACTCCATACTCCATTTGCATCTTCATCTACTACATGCCAGTCCTGAGCAAAGCACCGTTGACAACCAGTCGATGATTGGCAGTCTTGTTTCAAATTGTGGCACGGGTTGGGCTCGTTTGATCTGGTTCTGGTTCAGCTGTTCTGGCGGTGTTCCCACCCATTCCCCATCTTCGCCTTCGTCTACCCCGGATCCTGTCCCGTCAGTTCCGCAGTTGACCACCAGCTCATCTCTCATCTCATCATCATCTCCTGACTTTAATTGTTCCCCCCCTTTCCCCCACTTTCTACTTGTAACAACTGCTTTATTTGACGGGTAGGACCTCTGGAATTCCCTTGACGGACTCTTGTTGTGGTCGGAGGTGACTGGCATGTCCTGAACCCCTCACCGCTCACTCTCCACGGACAGAGTTGTCTGACAGTCCACTTTCAATCAAAACCCGCCACCATGGCCGGACCCAGCAGCTTGAATCTAAGCTCTCGCGTCAGCTCCGATCTCGATGGTCTCTCAGATGCAGAGGAGGAATTTGTCTCGAGTGCCAGCACAACCTCCAGCGCGTATGAGTCTCAGATGAAGGAACCTGTGAATGCGGGGAATGCGAGTCCCCAGCAGCCGCAAGCTGCTAGCGGGTCTCCGGAAAACAACACCAACAACAATAATCACAACAACCCGCACAAGGCTGGGGGAGCGAAGACGGCGGTAACCTGCTGTGCTAGTCCCCATGCAGCTTCCAATCCGTCAAAAAGGAAGCCTTTGAACCTGCTTGACTTGCCCATGGATATACTGCAGGAGATCATGAAAGAGGTGTGTAACCCGCTCGGGTCACTTGATGTCGACCCCCCCCCCCCCTCTCCCAAACACGTCAACCATACTGATCAGATCTGGAATACAACATAGGTGACCCACACGACCGATCTCACATCCCTTGCATTGACCTGCTCTGCGCTTCATTCGCTGGCGATCCCGCAGATGTACTCCCGGTTCGACATCGTCTGGCCGGAAGCCCTATCAACCTCCGACCATCCGGCTGGCGTGGATGCTCTGTCGTACGGGTTGGCGACTCTCGTGACCGGGGAGGATATATTCCGCGAGGTGCCTGGCCGACGGTCATCACAGCCGTGTCCACATTGCGGATGCAGCGGAGCGCCGCCCGGTCAGCATGCGGCGGGCGCACTACCGCGAGTCCGCCGCGGCAACTACTACGCGCAGTATACCCGCAAGTTCTCTATCGGCAACGGGCCGTTGATGTGGGTGCAGGAATACGCGGTGACCAAGGAGACGGGCAAGATGCTGGGGACGCTGGTGGCTCTGGCGGTGGCTCGGATGGTGAACCTGGAGACCTTCGTCTGGGACATGCCCACGGGAGTCTTGCGGGATGTCTGGGTTGCGCTGGCGTCGCTGGCGACTCGCCCGGGCCACGAATGTCGTCTGGAACGCGTTTGGGTGCGCTGGCACGATAACTCCGACAATGCCCTGCGGTCTCTGGTAGCCTCAGGTCCGACTGCGTCCTCGGTGACCTTGCCTCATTCGCCGGCTACGGTTCTGGGGTCTACAGGGAATACAGCATCGTGGCAACGATACGGACACGTGGAATACCCCTCTCTGTCAATCCTTCCACCATTGAAGAGTCTGAGCGTGTTGGATATCGACGAGCCGTCGTATTTGGAAGAGATGGGCGTGTTGGTCGAGCGATCGCGCGGTCGGCTGAAAGAACTCCGTATTGGGATTTCTCCCAAAGCGTATCCAGCGGCATGGCTGAAACCGGCAGGGGCCTGGCAATCTGAGCAGCCAACGCCGCCGAACGGAATCATTGGCTGGCCCCGATCTGGGGGCGTACTGGGGGTCGTTCTTGGCAGGTCTGAAGATCACCACACTCGGCCCGAATCACAGGCCCGTGTCTCTCCCACCAAGGAGGATTCTGTTGAGACGCCTCCTGAAACTAGTCAGACGGCGGGTGACGTGCCTGTCCACGACGGGCCCCCGTTGATAGCGGGGTCTCCGCCCCAACCGAACGGTGGTGTCACTGGGCTGGCCCTAAATATGGAACACACGCACATCGCCAGCTCGCCCGCGTCCTCCCCTTCAGAAACTAGACCCTCGCCGATCCCCAGCGGGCCATCGAGGTCTGTCACGGGGGCACAAACGACGCCCGAAGACGATCGCCCGCTGTTACAACTTGAGACACTCGAGCTGGAGCGCGTTGCACTGTCGATCCCGGTGGCAGTGCATGCACTCGACTGGAGCAAGCTGACCACGTTGACGATCCTTCGCTGCGAGAACCACGAGAAGCTCTGGCGGGCTCTGCGGCGCCAGTACTCCCCGTCGCCGTCACGGCCGAAGAGTGGGGAGGGCCCAGAGTACAACCTTCGACTAAAGCACCTCCATACGGATGCCGTATCGCCGTACCTGCTGCTGTTCATCAAGGATACGCTAGCGCCAAATACCTTGGAGACCCTCTTCCTGCATGAGGCGCCGATGTCCGAGTCGATCGTCAACATCGACGCGATCTACAAAAACGCGATTCGTAATCACCACCTGAGTCTGCAGAAGATCCTGGTGGACAGCACCCAGCGCACGCCGGGGGGCGCGGAGATGGCTAGCGTGCGATGGTACAAGTGGATGTTCACGCGCCAGATGATTACGTTCATGAGCAGTGGTCGGATGCCTCGGCTGAAGGAGCTGTCCATTGCTCTCCACGCTAAGGACTGGGTAAGATTGCCTCCCTTTTTCGCTTTCTCACTAGACACGAAGAGCAACGTCCACTGACACTGTTATGATTAGCACTACTTCATCCAGAGGCTCCCGTACATGCCCCAGCTCCGTGCCCTGCACATCCCGCACATCGCCCGCCACGTCCACCGCGACCCGAAGGAACTGGCCATGCTCATCCTCGACGTGGTCACAATCCGGCCGGAGATCGGGCTGACCTACGTCGGGGTCCAGGACAAATGCTACGAGATCTTGGAGGGGAAGGACGGCGAGGCCGGCGGCGAGTACTACGACACGGACGACAGCCACAGCGAGGGGTTCGTGCCCGGCGGGGAGGACTGGCCGGGCTCCGAGACCAACGACGAGGAGGAGTCGGACGAGGACGGCGGGGCCAGCGCGATCCATACGCTGTCGGACTCGTCGTCGGACGACCGGGGCTCGTCGGACGGCGAGGATTCGGAGGTGGACTTCAACCGGTCGCGGGTGTCGTTCCGGCTGCGGGAGATTTTGTTCTACGATGATAAGATCGCGATTTACAAGGCACGACACGGGGTGTTGTGATTTTTTTGGGGTGGACGGACAGAGGCGTCGGTGTGATTTAAGTCTTAAGATACCACCCAGCGATTTCGGATTGCAATGAGATTTGAGATATGAGAGTGAGATTTGGTAGGATGTAGAACTATCTATGGAGCACAGTAGGACATAGTCATAGTGTGCATGCATAAATGCCATCTGACTCAGCTTGGAGGCTGCACGGCCGACTAGACCCACCCCAAGCTCCCCCACGTGATAAGGCGGTCAAGCAAGCTCAGCCTCTGAGCGCCGCCGCGATCTCGACATCACCGCAGCCAACCCACGCGAAACGTTCGAGAGGTCGAAGGAAGGATTGACCAGCAGCAGGTTTCTTCTTTCTCAATTTCGCGTTCTTGAATTCGAGTCTGTGCTTTCAACCCAACTGCCAAGATGAAGCTCGTCCGGTAGGCCGCCCACCACCCTATCCAGAGAAAGGAAGAAACAACTAACCGCCCCCGGTTCCGGTCCAGGTTCCTGATGAAATGCGCCAATGAGACGGTGACGATCGAGCTGAAGAATGGTGAGTCTTCGCTGTCTAGCATCTTGCTCCGCGGCGTGGTTGCATGCAGTACACTACATGCGCAGCATCCACACCCAAATCCACAAACCCCAAGCCCAGTCGCCATTTCCCCCCCCCCCCCCCAAAAGAGCAAAGCTAACACCAACTCCCCGGGGGCGTGAAAAAGGAACCATCCTCCACGGCACCATCACCTCGGTCTCGCCGCAGATGAACACCAGCCTCCGCACCGTCAAGATGACCCCCAAGGGCCGCGACCCCATCGGCCTCGACACCATCAACATCCGCGGCTCCACCATCCGCTACTACATCCTGCCGGACAGCCTGCCGCTCGACACGCTGCTGATCGACGACACGCCCAAGCCCAAGAACAAGGCGCGCAAGGAGGCGGACCGTGGGGGTCGCGGGGGAAGAGGTGGGCCCCGCGGGAGGGGACGCGGGCGTGGCAGGGGCCGGGGCCGGGGATTCTAGATTTTCTTCTCCCCTGTGTCTTTATGAACTTGGGTGTGATGTTGGGACGGTGAATGGGTCTTCTTACTGGATGCGGTGGTGGAAGGATCGCGAGGGATGGGGATACCTACCCTACTTGCTGTAGGTGGAGGGAGGGGGTCATCTATTGCGTTCATTTTGCTGTCATTTTTTTTCTCTCTATCTTGAAAGTCATCATCTTCATCGTCATGGGAAAATATGGAGTTCGTTTTTATTTTTTCGTGATTTATCTCGTTTCTTGCTTGTTGGGCAGTGTATCCGGTTGTGTGGTTTGTAGTTGTAGTTCGAGAGAGAAATCAACGCAACCCCTAAGATAGATTAAGAGTCAATGTCAAGAGCAGAGCAGAGCTGAATCCCTCTATCGAATAAACCATGCCAGTATCCCTGAGTAATCATAAATCATTATCTAAACCAATCCCCAAGCCCCAACCCCAACCCCAACCCCAACCCCATATATATACATACACAGTCCACCCTCCCCCAGAAATCATTCTTCTCTGATGCATTCCCGCCAAACCCGCAGAATCACCAACTTCTCCCACCCCGCCTTCACCCCGCTGAACCCAGCAATCTCCGCGCACCACCCCGTCGCCCCATCCACCCCCTCCCTCCACCCCCGAATCCGCTCCGCCACCTCGCGCGGCCGGTTCTGCGCGCACAGCAACACATACCCCACCCCGCGCGGGCTCAGCACCCGCGGCAGATCCGCCAGCAGCCGCTCCGTGATCTCCATCCCGTCCTTGCCGCCGGCATACGTGAGGGAGAGGAGGTAGGATTCGCGCTCGAACTGCTCGCTGCGCGATTCGGCGGGCACAAAGTCCGTGGCCGTCGGGGCGCGCGGGACGGCGTCGGTGGGGACGTAGGGTGGGTTGAAGAGGAGGATGTCGATGCTGCCGGCCTTGAAACTGGAGGCGAGGTTGGATTGCAGGGTGGAGAGGTGGGTGGATTTCACGGCGGAGGGGTTCTCTTGGGCGGCGCGGTTTGTGTCTGTGGTGGAGGGGCTTGTGGTTGGGTCTGTGTTCTGCTGCGCGGCAATGGCCTTGACGACCGTCTCGCGGGTCGCGAGGCAGGCGGTGCGGTTGAGGTCCGTGGCCAGCGAGAGCACGTCGGCGCGGCCGAGGATCGTCGGGCTGTTGGCCACCAAGAACGCGAGGACGACGCCGGAGCCGGACCCGACTTCGAGGATGGTTGGGCTGGGGGTGGTGGCCGGGAAATGTTGGGTCAGCCAGGCGGTTTCCGAGGCGGAGGAGAGCGTGTCTAGGAAGAGGTAGCTGTCTTCGGCGGGTTCGTAGATCGTGTCGAAGGGGACGTGCGCGGTGCAGGGGGTGGGGAGCATTGTGGGGGAGCCCGGTGGGTAGGGCCTGAGGAGGAGGGGGTTGAGATGGGTTGTGTTGTGCAATTGTTGTAGTAATGGTGAAGTTCAACCTGAAGAATGTCTGGCTGGTCCGATAAAGACCGAAGTCGATATCGATTTGGAACGCGGCGCTGCGGACTCGGGAGGGAGAGCCGGAGAAATCATCGCCATGCGATTGGTCGAGACCTCTCCCCGCCTTGGGATTTACCGCGGCAGTACCGACCGTAAACGATCCGTTCGGTCTCGTCCGGAGGCTGCCCTGCCTGCCCTGGCAGTTGCTTCGAGTCCATCATCAAGTCGGTTGAGAATCTTCATCAGTCACAATGCGCCTGCCTTTCCACCCTACAGCCCGCCTCCTGGCGACCCCGGCCTCCATCGGCTCCAAGTCCAGCCTCACCGAGGCCCTCGCCCTCCTCCCGCCCATCCCCCTCTACCGCCGCATCCTCCGCGTGCACCGCAAGAAGCTCGACCCCCAGATGCGCCTGCTGGGCGACTCGTACGTCCAGAGCGAGTTCCGCGCGCATCGCAACGTGGAGAACCCGTTGCATATCGTATGTCGTCCCATTCATTGTTGTGTGGTGGGGGAGCTGCCCCGAAGCTAACGCATTTTTTTTAGATCGGCTTCCTCACGGAGTGGCAATTATACGCGCAGAAGCTGGAGGGCGATGCCTGGATCGGGGAGAAGCTCGATAAGGGCAAGTTGGATAAGATGAGTGGTGGGTTCTTGTCTTTCTGCCAGAGGGGTTCTAGTGATGCAGGCTAATCCGAGTAGACCAGCAGATTGGCCAGTTGTACGAGTTGATGCAGGCCATCAAGAATGAGGAGGGCGAGGGCGAGAGCGGGGATGGCAAGGCATAGTCGCGCGGTTGCGTTCGATGCGCCACAGTGTGGGAATGTCTGAGGATGAATAGGATTGTAAGATTGTGAGAGGTACTGTATATAGACTAACCAAAACGAAGAATGTGGCCTGGAAGGATAATGGATGATCCTTGCAGACTGTATCTGTGAGGCTGCCTGATCGTAAGTACTCGGTAGGCAGTTATAAAGTATAGCATGTGTAAGCAAGCTGCGGGGTAGTCAATTAAAGAGCGAGAGCCTCGCAGCCCTTTCATCCTCCGCATTTCATACCAGACTCTAACCGAGTTGGACTCACAATGACAACCAAACCACCACCACCAGCAACCTCCCCACCCAGATTCAAATGCGTCTGCTGCAAGAAGAAGAGCTTCAAGACGGCCGAGGCGCTGAGCAACCACCAGCAAGCCCGGGCCCATCATCCTGTCGCGTGCCCGCTATGCTCCAAAGAGTTCTGCGATAAGCACGCCGTGCAGCAACACCAACAAGTCCATCAACGAAAGGCAGCTGCTGCCATCGCAAAACCTCAAGCCACAACTACAACTACAACTACCACCAGCACTAGACCGAAACCCACTTCGCAGCAGCAGTCCACTGCCACCATGTCCAAGCAACAAGCAAACCCACCACCAACCCCAACACCTTCCTTAGAACTCCCCAGAACTACACACCACCCCTCCACCCTCCACCCCCTCGAACAAGACCTGCTATACAAATACCTGCTCTCCCGATGCCACCCCCGAGCCCGCCTGCAAGCCCAGAACTACCCCACAGCATCACAGACCCCCGGGAGGGACTACCAGCCCACCCCCCCGGCAAACCCCACGCAGCCCAAACGCAGAGCCATCGTTCTGACCTGCGAGACCGACCCACAGGCAACGGGTTTGACCCATCTAGCCGCCACAGACTTTTTGAGTAGTGAAGCGCTCCTGCACCTGGCTGTTGGTCCGGCAGCCAAGGAGGTGCAAAGCAGATGCACCGACAAGAGCATCCGTGCCACCGTGGCCGACGCCAATGCAGCGCGAACGGCACTGTGGGAGGTCGTTGACGCGGACACGGTCCTCGTGGGCTATGGGCTGCAGCGCGGGCTGCAGCTGCTCAGGATGGTGCACGAGCGGGTGGTGGATGCGGGGATCCTGACGGCGGAGGCGGTTTTTCTGGAAAGGTCGACGGTGCCGATATGGAGGGTGTGGGGGTTGGGGGAGCTGTGTGGGGAGGTGTTGGGGTGGGGTGGGAGGCAGGAGGAGGAGCAAGCTGCTGCTGCTGCTGCTGCTGCTGCTACCAGCAAGAAAGGCAAGCAGAGGAAGATGGACACGTGCGACGGGTGGGAAGAGTGTGTGGCCGCCAGGGAGGTTGTGGTATGGTGTTTGCGGAATCCGGAGCTGTTGCGGACGTGGGCTGAGGGCAAGGCTGGGGGGGATCTTGGGGAGGCTCCGCAGACGAGCGAGACGGCGAAGAGCAAGCGAGGGAAGAAGAAGGGTAAGAAGAAGGGTAAGAAGAAGAGCAAGAGCAAGAGCAAGAAGCGCAAGCAGACCGAGCAGCAAAAGGAAGAAACAACAATCCTAACTACAGCACTACTAGAGCCAGGGACAGATCCCACACCTGAACAAACCCCACCACCACCACAGCCCGAAGAACCAGACGAAGATGAAGATTCTGATGAAGGACTCGAGATAGTTCAATGGCAGGATCTTGAGTGATGTTCTACCATCTACCATCTACCATCTACCATCTACAATTTACAATCTACATTCTACATTCTACAATCTACATTCTACATTCTACGAGTACCATTCTCATCGACAGTCAAGATAGATCCTCGGCATCCCGCGCCGACCCAGCCCAGCCCAGCCCAGCCCCACCGTGGACCATCAATCAACCCACCAGTTTAGTCCAACCGTTTAGTAGCAACCCGGGTGTGAACCACAAATTGAAATTTCCCCTCGATCCCTACCCAGTAACTTATCTTATCGCCTCCCGCTTATCGGGGAACCTGCCCGCTGCCCGCTGCCCGCTGCCCGCTTGCCTCCGAAAAATAAATTCCGCTTCCCCTTCCCCGCGCATACGCCGCGCCCTCCGATTGACACCGGCCTTTCTTTTTTACTTGTCCTATAACTTACCCTCCCCTCAACCGAGCACTTAACCAACTATATACCTGCCCCTCCCCATCCCCATCCTCATCCTCATCCTCATCCTCAATCCAGTTCCTTCCCTCCAAACCAATCTCCACAAGCAAAGCACCCAAAAGAAAAAAGAAAAAAATGCCCGCCCTCCTCGAAGACCCCCTCACCACCCTCCCCGCGCCGACGGCCGCGCAAACCGCCGCACCCACCCTAAACCCCAAAAAGGCCGTCCTCAAAGACAGCACCACGCCGGTCACCCTGTACCCCATCGCGGGGGGGCCGTCCACCGTCCCCGATTCGCTAATAGCGTACCTGCACCGCGAGTTCAGCGCCGAGATCGTCCGCGGCAGCACGTACCCGATGGAGGAGCCGATGACGCTGGAGCAGTACCGGACTTATTGGTTTGGGACGTTTGCGGTGATTGCTTTGGTTGATGATGATGCCGACAGTCAAGGCGACGGGGAAGGGCGGGGCCTGGGCCTGGTGGAGGGCCGGGATTGGGAGCGCGTGTGCTTGGGGACGTTTTACGTGAAGCCGAATTATCCGGGTATGTACATGGTTTTTCGCCCTGTATTATGGTTTCCGGGGGGGGGGGAAGCTGAAGCTGAAGCTGATGTTGACGTGGTGATACTGACACTGGCTGGACAGGTCGGTGCTCGCATGTCTGCAACGCTGGGTTCTTTACGACTCCGGCGGCTCGAGGGCGCGGCGTGGGCATGGTGATGGGCCGGACTTATTTGGAGGTTGCGCCGGTGTTAGTATGTTTCCTTCCTTCCTTCCTTCCTCTCTTTTGCTTTGCTTGCTTCAGGGGTGGTGAGGGTGAGGTGGAGGGTGCGGCTGGCGGGGCAGACCGAGACTGACGATGCTAACGACGACGACGACGCCGACAGGGCTACAAATACTCCGTCTTCAACCTCGTCTTCGCCAACAACACCGCCTCCATCAAGATCTGGGAGAAGCTGGGCTTCCAGGTCATCGGCCGCGTGCCCCGCGCCGCGCGCCTGGCTAACAGCGCGGAATTGGTCGATGCGTTGATCATTGGCCGGGATCTGGTCTAAAGCACTTCTCCGACTCGCTGCACATATACCCCAACCCCACTGGGCAACACGGGAAGCAACATGTAAATATCCTTGTTCCACTTGGCCTGTGATAGATAAGATAGATATCGATGATTACTTGCCTAAACCCACACCACCAGAAATGATCAATCCCATACATACACCGCTGAAAAAAATGCTTGAGGGGGATATCAATCTGCAAAGACACGCAAAATCGGCTATATCACCATACAAAACCCCCAATCGCAATGCTCCAGTTGAATTACATGACAACGATTATAAAAAAACAATTACCCGGAAGATGTGACGCGACTAGCCCCGCCAGGGAGGTCGCTCACCCAGCTTGCTGCGCGTGCTAGGCGCATTGTCCTTGCCGGTCCGGCCTTTGGGCAATGGAATCAAGCTGATGCGACGGTTGCTCGCATGTCCGAGCGACGTTTCCGGCCGTGGCGTCGGAGGCGCTTTGGTCGGGCTCGCCAGTGCGCGGCTGTGATCTTGCGAAACACTGCGGCTGAAGGAAAGCCCCGCGAAGCTCTGTCGGCTGCGCGGCGCCGTGGCCAACCCATCGGGTCGGCGCAGTTTGCTGTAAGGGGGAGGATCCAGAAGGGATCGGTTCGGGGTGGGAGACGCCACTCGCGACGGGCTGCGCGACGCCAGACGGCTGGACACCCGACTGACCGACCGCGCGCTCATCGGAGCCGGTGACACCGACATATCGCGGCGGTACGGAGTCATGGGGAGTGTAGAGGAAGGGCGCGACGTGCGACCCTGGGCGGACGATTTGCGGAACGGTGTATGGAGGGAATTAGACTTGTATTTGTCCAAGTCGCTGGTATTGGTGCTGGTGGTCCACCGCGGCCTATTGGCCAACGCTGGCGGCAGAGCTGGGGTACGTGGTACCGGTTTGCGCGCCGCCGGCGTCGGCGTAGCGGCCACGTGTTTCGTAGGCGAGGTCACCCCGAGTGACGCCTTGGGGATCGCTGATTTCTTCGCTGTTAAGGTGGATGTGACTTGCGGCAACCCAGAATATCGTCGCACCTTCGACATGGTCGTGCGTGCCACCGAACTGACAGAGCTACCACGACGGCTGGAATTGTTGACCGGCGTGGTAGATCGCTTCAATGCATTCGCCGGAGTCATGATGACCGATGAAGCTGGGGAGCTGCCGGGAGTCTCAGGGACACTTCCGGTCAGTGGGCTATCCATGGTGAGGATACTCGAGATCGAGTCGCGCAGGTGTTGAGACCGTGTGAAGCTGATATCCTCCAAGGATGCATCCATTACCCGGATGCTGGCCTTCAGAGCATCGATTCGCGATGTCATGTCTGACAACAGTCGAAGAGTCTCTCCGTTGACCGTAAGACGGTCATTCACACCCTTCTGGATGATCGACACCACCCGCTCAATCGCAGCAACGTAATGCTGTTTCTTGGCGTCGTAGCTTTCGACCCGTTTCGTGAACTGGGCCGGGTTGTGCACCTGAGCGCTGGTCTCGATGGCTTCCTGAAGCTTCCCAATGCTCCTCTCAACCGATTCGAACATCTTCTGCGCTTGATTGCCCGCATTGCGGAATACGAGAATCCACCGGTCCTCGCTGAGCTCGTCCCGCAAGGCTTCTGCATCAGCTTCCAGCCCTTTGTAGGCCTTCTCAAGCTGACTGCGTCTATCTTCGAGCTCCTGGCAGGCGCTGGGGAATATACGCACCGCCCGCGACTGGAACATGGACAGCCGCATGGGGAGGAAGTCGAGCGATGCACGGAGCGGTTGGATCCTCGCAAACAAGGCGATTAAGTTGGAGTGGTTGGAGTCGTCATGCGGCGTTTGGATGATAGGCATATCCAGGGTCGGTGCCGCGAACAGAGGCTCCAGACTGAACCGCTTGCTGGTCGACATGCGGCCACCTGCTGGCGTTTCCTCGACGATGGTCTCCAGCTCATTGATGTCGAGTCCCGTAGCACTGGAATCCTGTTCACCCGCCATGGTCCAGTGTCGCTTCTCTTCCATCTCGAAGATGAGCCGGCCGAGATTTTCCACCTCCACTCCAACATCGCCCAAGACATTGCTCCATAGTTCCTCCCATTCCATCGCCAGCTCCACTTGTTCTTTGACTCCTTTCAGCCGATCCTTGATCTGCGACCAGCTATGGATGATCCCGTCCATCTGTACAACGATCAAGTTCAATTGATCAGTGGAGACGTTCTCGATATCGTCGCGCATCTGCACGTCCTCAATAGCCTTGACGTAAACGTTGATCAGACTCTCAAATCGGGTGATGGCTCCATCGACCCCGTCCAGCCCTTCTCTTCCGCCGGCAGCTGCCCATTCGACGTCGTCCTCGGCATCCAGCCCGCTCAAAACACCGGAGGCCTTTTTGATCCAAATTTGAATCTGGTCCGCAGCTCCCGTGAGGGCCCTTACGGCTGCGGCGGCGGTTGGAATGGACGCGATACCAGCCTCGAGTAAGGATGGTTGGGGAAGGGAGATGGACGTGAGTTGCGAAAGCTGATTGCTAAAGGAGGCCCTTGAGAACGAGTATATGGATTCTGAGCGTTGTAGCCCGAGCGGGTTGAAGTAGGATTGCGAATTCGCGGATGAGATTGAGAGGGGGCGGGGAGAATCTTTCGGCGGCGGGGGAGGGGGAGCGGATTCATTGTCGCTGGTGCTCTTGAGATACTTTTCAAAGTCGGTCGGGTTCGTGGACGGCATTCCATTCGTTGATCCGGGGCGGAGTGGCAGACGAGATCGTTCAAGAGTAGCCATGTCGAGTAGTGGCTCTTCGATCGCTCCCTTGTCCTGCTGCAGTTCGTCTTCTTCTTCTTCTTCTTTTGCTTTAGCTGCGACTTCGGCTTCCGGCACCGCTTCTGCTTCTGCTTCTGCTTTTGCTTCCGCTTCTGCCTCCGTCTCTGCCCTTACTTCCGCTCCACACTCTTTCAAAGAGTCCCCTTTCTGAGAACGCTCTTCTGGAACCGAAGCGATCAACAGCGAATGCAAGTCGGGTTGTAGAACTGAAGTAAGCACGTGCTGTTCTGAGACTTGCTCCGAAGGTTCCCAAGCTTCGTCTGCGTAGAGCTCATCCGCTAGTAGCTCTTCCAGGAGCACTGGGTCGGGGACCTCCAAGTGGTTTGAATCGCACGATTGTTGCTCCTGCTGCTGCTGCTGCTGCTGTGAAAGGGACTGTTGTTGTTGTTGTTGTTGTTGTTGTTTCCTTTCCTTGTGGGCCCGGTGCAGACCATTCCACGTGCGACCCTTTTTTTGAATCCTTATCGATAAGTCCTGGTGCAAGCTGTCCAACTCCTTTATGTGTTCCTCGGGGATGCGGCCCACAGCGCCCACTCGAGACGGGCTGTTGTTCTTACTGCTGCTGTTGCTGCCGTCGAGAAGCTTGACGCGGGCGGCAAGGCCGGGGGATAATCGACGGAGGATGGATGGGCGAATGAGCGTCTTCTCGGCGTTGTTGTTGGCGTCGGGAGTGTCGTCAGGGTCGTCGTCGTACGTCGTACTGTTGCTTCCCAGGCTGCGGAGACTGCGCAGAGAGGATTTGGATCTGATTCGTCGCGTGAAGGACTCATCTGCAGCGGAGATGGAGACAGCAGGAGGAGGAGGGGGAGGAGGTGAGAAGAGCTGCTGTGACGGCAACGATGTGGTGGTGGTGGTGGTGGATGTTGTGTTGAGCCCGGAATCCGAGGGCTCGGCGGTCGCAGTGGTTGCGGTTGCAGTGGTTGCAGTCGACCCGGTGAACATGGCACGCATGGATGGGGAAAAACCACGAGGCGACTGCGGTCGGATGTTGTTTTGATTTGATTTAGGAAAAGGTAGGAAAGGGTACGTATGTATGGGTATGGGTAATTGAGGTTGTGTGGGTAACTTGCGAAAGGATGTGTGGGTGTGAAGGACTGAGTGACTAACGCACTAACGCAGTCGTGCAGTAGAGCAATGATGAAGGGTGGGTTCAGGAATGTGGTTGATGGGCTCAGGATGCGCCAACGCGGCGGGTGGACTAGGAGTAAGTAACGTTAGTAGGCGTTAGGAGGCGTTAGGTATGCGGGCTACCCAGGTAGCTACTAGGTATCCCTCCCCCTTATCCGGTTTCAGCACAAGCCTAGGTTTAAATGCGTCGGGCCCAAATAGAGATCCTCGACTTGTCAACGCGCTCAACAGAAACCAGTCCGCAACGTCCCGGTGACATTGTACTGAGTGGATATGGAATTGATTTGGGCAGCAGCAGTATCAATGAAGATTGTATGAAAGGTTCAGAATAAAAAAGAGGGTGACGGTGAATGTACTGATTGTAAGGGTGTAGGGGGAGAATGAAACAGAAGACATGCTGTCCCTACACGGCGGCTGCGGCTGGCCTCAGGCTTCATTGTTGTGCCCGACCAGGCCCCGGGCTGATCCTCCGCCCCAAAGGGCCGATTATCAGCATCCTTTCTTTCTTCTTTACTTTCGGTCTACGTAGTCACTACTACGCTTATGTAGTTAGTTATGCTGCTTGGTACCTGGAAATTTAATATCTGAACGTGCTTCAACCTATTATGAAACCATTGTATTGAAGATAGTATTGAAATGGAAAGCAGAAGGAATGAATAAAGAATATTCAATCCTCTGCCTTTCGACTGGGAACTACAACACGCCTACCTGTTTTGACAGAGTGTTCACAAGCTTCCGCCAAAGAACTAATTTAGTCGTCAGCCGCAGCCTGAGCTGCCTGAGAAACATCGCCAGGATAGGGCTCATGATCCTTACCACACAGTCTACACGACCCCAAGACCAACAAGGGTGAATAACCGTCTGGCCCATCCCCTTGGGATACCGAGCTAACAAGCGGCCTTCCCATTCTTGTAGCTTCATCCTCCCTGGGTTCATGGCTCGAGCACCACTCAAGCTCCTTCGCATCATAGTCATTCCGCGGGACCACAGACAGCCACGCTTCAAGATACTTGTACCCGTCCTCAGTTGTGTCATCCTCATCCTCGTCGACGTCGACAGGTATCTGACTCGGGTCAACGACCCACGACTTCAAAGTCATGGCCCCATCCTGTGGTGAAGGAGAAGGCGCATCGTCCTCTGAAGAGGGCTGCTGCTGCTGCTGCTCACTGCTGTACACGTCCACCATCTCGTAGAGGTCGACGCAGCCATAGACGTGCTTGCAGGTCGGGAACCGGACCCGCAGCTCTTTGAAAGCGCGGGCCAGGGCCAACGTGCAAAGGTCATCCTGCACCCTAATGGACTCCCCTGCCTTGAGGTTGAGGAGGCTGCAATCCCACTTGATCGTGATGAGCCAGGTGCCGGGGGCGATCGGTTCAGCGGCCGCAGTATACGGACGTCGAGCCGGTATGCGGGAGTAGTCGAGCCGCTCCGGCCGCTGCATCATGTCTGCAGGCACAATATATTCAGAGATTCTAAAGCGCCCGTAACGGACTTCAGAGCTATCTTGGTTTCGCATGATTGTCTCGTTGCTCAGGTCACCTAAAGAGATGGCCATCTTTCTTCTTTGGCTATTAGCAGGATCTTGCTGGAAGGCTAGAAGGGTAGTGTGTGTTGATTGGAAACCGACGTGAGAACCAGGCTGTTCGCGGTCAATTAATAGATTGCGGAGGAGATGTGTCCAGTTCAATTAAGAGTAGTGCTTTGTTTGGCTCTTTCTTTTCTAGCAGCTTTTACTTTGTTGGTGATTCTTTGCCCATAGACTGATATCTTTGATCTGCACTGTTCAATTATGCCCATTATGTTGTTCACAACCTTTGTAATCCTATACTTCATTGAGCTCGGCAGCTTCCACTTTGTGTGTCCCAATAAACACAAAGTAAATCCTTCGGCATCCATGGAACAAAGCCCGCGCGACCCAGCCCTTCACCGGATCTTACTCCAACCTCCAACCACTAGACTAGCTTAGCCCCGAGGGCAGCCAAATTGTCAATCGATGTGAGCGTGGTTTGAATCTTCGTGAGCAAATATTATGTATATTGAGAATGATACAAGAAAGTATAATCTGAACCCGGATTGGGCACCCCCTTCAGCACAGCGATGTCGGCGACCTGTCCGACGTTCGCCTGAGAGACGGAGTGTAGCCCATATTCCCGCGCCAAAAGTCGTATAGTTACAATGAAGGGGAGTGTCTCCCGTCCGAGATACAAGCAAGATCAAGCATATCGCGACAGAGGGGTGAAATGTAAAACACAAATATTTCCAACCTGACTGGGCTCAGACAAGCAAGGGGTATCAATGTGGCCAGAGCGGACAGCAAAATAAGCGCAAGAACGAACCCACCGACCATCCCGTCGGTCTTCCCCTTCCCAATTCCCCTCCTCTTTCTCCGGCTTCCCCTTCTCCCCTTTCCCCCCAAAAAACAAGCCCCCTCTCTTCCTATTCGTGACCAAGATCGATCACAATTGACGACCGAGCACCTCCTATCACAAAGGACGGATCACCAGATCGTCACTAGGAAGGCTGGCAGCCGAAGCTCGCCGCTCCCGCCAATCCCGCACCAGCTCTTCGCGGACTACCCTACACCAGGACAGCAGAGCGGTGTCGAACTGCTTCCAAGCCTCGTCGCTATTGCCCTGTACCACCCCCATCACGTCGATCTCCAGCTTAGTTTCCCATCGTAGCTCAGCCGCCTTGATCCAGAATCGCAGGTTCTCTGCCATGCGATATGGCTTCCCGACATCCTGATGGTACGTCTTGATGTCGAAGACCGGCCGCTTGGAATTTTTGATCGCGAAATTATGGGCCCGCACCAGGTCTCGGCCGTCACGCAGACGCTCCAGCATGGCAGGCGGCGGTGAGTTATCCTCCGGAGCGGTCCATGCGGGCAGCTGCGCGTCGGCGCCGATCAGGCTACGCAGGAACAACGTCTCCCGGTCCCGCTCCTTGCCTGTCCACTCCCCTTCCGTCCAGATCCATGCAGCTCGCTCTTTGGCTTCAAATGATTCCAGCTGAGCTTCCCGCGCCAGCATGTCGCGTACGTTTCCCATCCAGCCTATAATGGCGGTACGCTCGTCCTCGCGAAGCCCGTCGGCAAAGTTCCGAGCGGCCCATCGCTTCATCACCTCGAGCACACTGAAGAGCTCCTTTCGGATCTCCCGCTTGTCCTTGATTGATGCCAGTCGCTCAGGACGCTCATGTGCGGTGTAGTAGATCTTCGCAGCCCGAATGGCTAAGGTGACAGCATCCAGGACACGCATGCCCTGGATCTCCTGCCATGTTTGAGGTACTGCCTCCGGAGGAGGCTGTGGTGTTGAGTCATCTTCGCTGTCGCCGGGTTCGTTGGATGAGAAACTGATGCGGGGCGGAATCATTTCCGCCGGTGGATCCTTCTGGGTGTCGAGGGAATTGATCGCGCGGTCGGCCTTCTCCATCGCCTCCATCAGGTCTTTCCGCAGCGCCTTTAGTTTCGGTGGGGACGGGATATGGTGCGTCTTGATACTGTACGTGCTCACGGTGGGTGGAAGCATCACCTCGACGTCCTCATCCATCTCGGACCCATCGTCCTCAAAGCCGGAATCGCGGGGATCGATGCTTTCTTCCTCCGTAGGGCTCACCGTCAACTCCTCGATGAACCGGGCATTGGGGGTCAGCAGCAGCCTGGGAAGCTCTTCTGGATCCTTCTTCTTTTTCTTGTATGCACGGGCCTGACCGCCCTTCCCATCCAGCAAGCCTGTCCGCGCAAAGTAGTATTGCAGATGCGCGATGCTACCCAGGCTCATCACACTCTCTCGGTTCTTGGCTGAATCTGCGAATTCGGCTCCTTGGGTGCGGATGTAGCCCCGTCGCTTGGAGGCGGTCGAAATCGACGACCTGGCATCTGCAGAGGTAGCAGACGAGGCCGAGAGCGAGGAGAGAGACGAAAAGGTCCGGTCTGGCGATGGACAGGAAGAGATGGCCGGCGTTGCTGGAACCGATGGAGAGGGAGAACCGGCGCGGGCAGGGGGGGTGATGGATTCGGGGTCGATAGAGTCATCCATGGCTGCGCACGTTATCCTTGTTGGCTCGTTCACTGGTGACGGTCGCAGGTCTGCAAAAGATAGATCGTATTGGGGGCACGGCGGCGCGTTCGAGAGGACACAGATCCGGTATGAGGCGAGTTATACCTCTCACACTAGAGAGCAAAGGACAGGTGTACGTCGGGTGATGGGGAATTATGGAAATGACGCGAAAGGATCGAGAATAGGGACAAGGCGTAGGTTTGAGACGCGAGAGTTGAGTGATTAATTAGAGATGGTCAACCGATCATCGGGGCAAGATTGAATTTGGGAAGTTCGAAAGGGGGGGCGTTTTTTTCCCACTAAAAGGGGAAGCGGGTCGATAGCCCAGGGTGATTATCACACACGTCTGCATTGATAATGCACCACCGGTATTAATAGAAGTGTCATTTCTTTCTTGTGCATCCGTCTTTTCGGGTGACCGTGTGGACAAGCGAGCCCCTGAGGTCATTTAGAGCCGGATTGCCGGAATGGCTGGTGCCCTCCAAGGCTACTACCCCATGATCGATGGCTGATGCTCATCGAACATGCGCCGTGTGGATATTGCACTGGATTCAAGCCTCTCTGTCTCCTGTTGAATTGGTTCTGTGGTTGAGTAACTGCCACTTTGCCTTTTCAGGTCTAGCGTCCCCCGTGCCTGAAAAGCCCCGCATCCAGACTTTTGAGTCCTTTTAACGCGAACCCCCTTACGGCTTACTCTACTCTTACTCAGTCGATTCTTCTCTGCTCAGCTGCACCCTGCACGTCACTTCCACGCACAAGCCTCGGTTGAGCCCGTTCGGTCAGAAGCAACATGATACACAGTCAATTCGTCTATTGAAATTTGAGGAGAGATGCCATTATTTACAACATAATAGTACAGTGCCCATTGGCCCGCTGCTTATCGAAAACCAAACCCCCCCCCCACGGCAGAGAGCAACCAGCACCGTCCACCCATCTATACATGAAACAAAAATCCTCCAGGGAATGATTAGTTAGCCCGCGGTGACAACTGCCCCGGTCCAGCCGGCGTGATACCAGATGTTCCTTTTAGATCACTTCCTCCCGCTCCCAACCAGTGGCCTTGAGATTGTCAATGCCCTTGTTCGGATGGGGCTTGGATGGATCCTTGTACTTGGCTGCGTACGGGTTCGGGTCTGTCGCGTGGTCGAGGTTGCCTAGGGTGTGGTTCACCTCCCGGTGCTTGGCCTCGTCGGCGCGCACATAGAGCAACAGGTCCCGCATCGTCCGCTGTCCTTCCGGCATCTTCCAGTACTGCACCGCGATCTCGGGCGCCTCCAATTTCTCCCAGTGGGGCAGCTTGCCGTGCTCGATGTCTTGGATCGCGCGGGTGTACGTGATCACGGCCTCCTCCTCGAGATACCCCACGAATCGGTGGCAGATGCGCGGCGACATGAGGTAGGACAGGAAGAAGCCGTTGAAGAAGACTCCCTGGGCGCCGAGCACCATGAGTCGCATGAACCAGCCCGGTTCCGCGAGCTTGAGGAAGGTCAGGAGATGCATCCGCTCGTTGTATGCTTCCTCCAACAGGGTTTCGATCCTATTGCAGAAGAGTGGTTAGTTGGTGTTCTTGATACATCTATGGTTTGCAGGCGGGAAGCAACGGCGGAGAACCTACCATCCATTGTCTCTCTTCATGCGCCGCAGGCTTCGCAGGTGTCGTAACATGCCGCCCACCATACCGGGCACACCAGCCACACTTTCCAGGAAGACAAACCGTCTCAACCACGCTTGCTCGGTCATCTGGAATCTGGCCTCGTGTTCCTTGCCCGCAGGAGGGTGGCGGTAACCCGTCACGAAGTCCATGCCCCATCGCAGCACCCGCACGGTACCGAGTGCGATCCAATCGGCCCAATCTTTCGCGTCGCGATGCGCAACCGTGACTTGGTTCATCTGCTCTTCCGAGTAACTGTGGCAAAAATCAGCATCCTAGCGCCAATTCGCAAGACGAACGATCGAACGGAACGTACACCGGATGGACCCAGGCGGTCTCCACTTCTTTGACATGGGGAGCCTTCGGTGGCGGGAAGAACTCCTTGATCTTATCCTGCTTCTGTGTCGTCGAGATGAACCGCTTGTTGTACGTGTGCTGGTGATAGTTGTTGCCCAGGGTCGAGCTGCCACACCGGAGCCCGGTCATGATGATGACACTCGGGTTGCTTCGCATGGTGAAGCGAAGGCTTGCCTTCGGGATGGCCACCCTAAGGGGCGCCGTGGCTGCCATGGAATTCATCGTCGTATGCGATCAGTGATTTGTATGCAGCGTTGATGTTTGGAGTGCTGTTGTATTTGTTGTATGAGAAAGCCTTCGAGTGAGTGCTTTAAAGTGTGTGATAGAGAAGACTGTAAATCAAAGTGATCCTGATTTGGATATGTACTGAGAATGCCACAACCTCCCTTGACCGGTACCTATTTATATAACATCTCGAAAAACTCAAATTACACAGAAAGAAAAATTCACTTGTACCTGAACCTACTGAGTACCAAGTATGACTCCCCCCAACCCGGCGGTTCAGGTCCAGTACCTTACCTGGGGGACTGACCGAATCTGTTCTCGGCAGAAATCGGAGTGGCGCCCCGGAATTGTACGCAGCGGGACGGCGACGGAGGGGCCGCCCTGCGAAAAGTCACGCGGACAAAGCAAAGAAAAAAGAGAACCACATCCTTTGCGCAGTTTAGTAATGCTCTCAAACTTGCTCAGCCACTGGGTCGGGTTGGACTATGCTGTTGTAGTAGGTAAGTTATGCGATATGATCTCATCTGGGAGCCTCAAAAGGTATGCCATGCCAGGCGCAGTGGATGTTCTTCGCATCCTACAGGAATCATTCCCTGTTGCTGGTTATACGAACGATACTTTAGTATACTTGTCTCTGGATCAGGCCACTTCTCGTTGAAGTTGACGGTATTGCTATGTACTCTGCAAAGCGTATTTTTATTCTGCGTGTGGATTGCTTAGAATCAATGTCTCAATAGAAATAGACTCACTTGGGTATAGTATACTCTAATCACTAGCGCGTACAGATCCCGGTCCGGTCAGTGGCACTGGCAGCTTTTGCCCTGCACCAGAACTAGAGGTGGGGTCCGCTGGTGGATGTACTGTCCGTAAAGAACCATGAAATGGTGGAAGAGTTCGTAGGGGTCTAGAATCTTACTCATTACAGACGATCCATCCCTGCATTGCCCGTCTGACTACTCCGTACCCTGTCAAACTATGATCCCTAAGGAGGGAGGAGAAAGGAAGCACAAACAATGAACCTAGAAGTAGTTAACTATCGCTCCCTGCACAGTAAAAGCCACCACGCAGGCCACCCCCCTCTTTCCTTCACACTAGGAAGGTACGTAAAAGAGTCCTTCTTTGTTAGCCAAAACCTATCTCGTATACGCCCACAAGAATAGGTACAGTACTCATGACGGGGCATCTTTCATGACCGGTGAGAAAAGACAGGCATCGGCCCCCTCCCCCCCCAGATGACCTGAAATGAGATATCTCGGGAGGGTGAAAGGGCGCGGCGGGATTCGACGAATTCGGCGTCCACCGGAAGGCGAATTCAACTCGGCGCTGGGATATGGCCGAGGGGGTTTGGAAATTTCTTGGTTGGGTTTTGAACGGCATTTGATGGGATCTGGCGGCCCAGGATCGGCGATCCTATCTGTCGTTCCGGTGAAACCCCAGGATATCCCGTTGGTTTGGTACAGTAGCCTAGTCGATCGCTCATGTACTACTGTTCGGTTTGTTAGTATGTGAAGGTTCTTCGCCACTGATTGGTTTGTTGAGGAACCGGCTTCTACTATACATATACAACAACCTGACTACAACTTGATCAACGTCGATATCGTGTATCCAGAGACCAATTTAGCATCTTGTTAGAACAGAGTCGGACTGAAAGGATTTGCGCAGGGATGCTTTCGTATTGCGCTGACGCTGACATAGGGGGATGAATTTTGGAGGGTTGATGGCTCAGCATTCTCGGGTGAAGCCGGGATGCCGTGTCTGAGTCTGGGTGAGTCAGGCATACCTACCGAACATAACTCGGAATTGAGTCGGGGGACTTGTTGGCAATAACCTTATCTTCGTGTCCGGGGCTGCGACGTCATGATCCTTTTGTCTGCTTCGGATTGAGGTGAGAATTTGTTGTTCCAATTTTGTTGGAGTGCTACGTAGCTTCCAAAGTTTGCTTTTCCATGATCTCTATCTATACTTCAAGACAACACCAATCGAAAAAGGCGCCCTTACGAATAGGACATCCCATGCAACACAATGCTTTTAAAAAGTTAGTCACACTGTATGCTATCTTTTGTCCAGCACCCAGCACTGTTACTCTCTCATTTATTACGATCGCGTGCGTTTTTCCTTCTACACGCACACGCAAGCGCAGACACGCGACTACCATGGCATGCACGTGCCCTATACACAGCCCGACTCACTCAATGTTCGCAAACCCCGACTCCGACGTCTTGTAGCATGAGAATTTCTCTTCGCCGTCCTTCACGCCAACCTCCTTCTGCTCCAGTTTGACAACATGTGCTAGACGGGGTCCATTGTTGAGGTCCTTGAGCAGCTTCTGCACTGATTCCGCGGGTCCTTGAGCTTCCCCTTCGACCTACAAGTGCTCAGCGTTAGCAATATTGCAGGCCAAACGAGTATGGCGTCAAGGCAATCCCAGGGGAGGATATGCCCGGGAGTACGAACCCTTCCGCAGTGCGTGTTCTTCACCCAGCCCCTCAAGCCGTACTCGGTGGCGCGCTTCTGCGTGAAGTCTCTGTAGGTGCAGAGAGGTTTGGTTAGCTAGCGGTTCAACTGTGCGGGGGACCGGGTCTAGTAGTTGAAGTGGTGGCGTACCTAAACCCCACTCCTGCATAATCCGCGGATATTAGCTTATGCTCGATCATATCATGTGGTAGCTTGTCATAGGAGAGCAGGCATTCCTAGTGCTGAATAGAGGCATACCTTGCACTGTTCCAGATACTTTGAATGCGATCTATCCATGTCAGTGGACTGCAGATTAGATATGAAGTTTGGATGACGTAGTGCGGTCATAAGAGGTCCGATCGTCTTTCAAGAGAGTGGATTGGGGGGGATGGGGGGGACATACTCGCTGCGATGACATATTGATAGATGAGTACAATTCTCATTCAAGCATGTAGTATGAGTTAATCAGGAATACTTGTTGTTGTATGTCTGTCTTTCAATCTATATCTTGTCTGTACCTTAGCTTCATCATGCGTCGCCGATGTGGTTAGTCAGCCACGGATGTCGCCGCGGGCCCGCCTTGATACCGCTTTCCTGGACTGGAAAGGTCCTGTTGCGGCGGGGGAGCAAGCAGCCAGTCAGCATTAATGTTTTATGCTCTGCACCTTCAGGAAATACATTCTATTCATTGCATTAACCGTAGGCTTTACATGGGTGTCGAAGTGTATAAGACTAAGGTGTTATACAGTCTGACTGAACTTTAGAAATAGGTTTTCATACAGTCGCACCAGCTTTATACACAATTCATCATGGCTTAGGCTATGAAAACCGGCGGATCAGTTGCAGCAGTCGGCCACGCTCCGCTCCGCCCCTGAACCAAAAATGGACCCGGGCGATCGATCCCCCAGAGTTCCGGTTCCTCCTGCTTAACTCTCCGCACTGTGTCCACCACCTTTCTCTACCCATCTACTCACCCACTCCGTCCACTTTTCGAGGGGTTCGTCACTCCTCACGAGATGCTGGCGCCAGAATGATTCTCTCACTGCTCGCCTGGCTTCGGCGATTATACTCCCTCGACACCCTCGACACTCGTTTCACGGCTTCTGCGACCACTCCCGCCAAAGTCGCCGCGGCTGACGCGCGACCTGCCTCTACCAAAGATCCCCGTTCTGCTGCCATTGCCCGCAATGCCTCGCCTTCGAGGTGGAACACTTTGGAATTCTATATCTACTATATCGTTTTCTTGATCGCGGTGCCATTGATGTTCACGACTGTCATTGGGGTATCACAAGGTCCATCTCCTCTTGTGCACGTGTGAGGGCCAGATGCTGATTGTTCCGGCAGAGAGTCATCCCACTTATGCCACATACTCTTACTTACTCGAGGACGGTTGGATACCCGGTCGCAAAGTTGTACGTTACTGTCGTTTCGATCATTTTCGTATGGAGCTAACATTCCTGGATGCTTAGGACAACTCCGATGCCCAGTACTCCGGTTTCCGAGAGAACGTTCCTTACCTCCTCATCCTCTTAGTCGGCCATCCACTCCTTCGCCGAGCCTACAATCGATATGTCAGTCCAGCCAGCCCAGGCCTGGGCTCTGCAAAAGCCACCCCGGCCGTTGCAGCTGGAGATGCGCGCCTTACGCAACGAATCAGTTTTGATTATTATTTCGCCTTTGTCTTCATCGTCGCGCTCCACGGCATTTCCGCTTTCAAGGTTCTCACGATCCTTCACATCAACTACCGAATCGCCAAATCGATGCCTAGAAGATACATTCCCGCAGCAACCTGGACATTCAACATTGCAACCCTGTTCGCCAATGAGCTCTGTGCCGGCTATCCGCTCGAGCGCTTAGCTACCTTCCTGACACCTGCTTTCGATGCTACCAAGGAAGTGCCCGCCCTGGTGCTTTGGGCTCGTTCTTTTGATGATTTTGGGGGTATCATTCCCCGTTGGGAGATTCTTTTCAACATCACGGTGCTCCGTCTGATCAGCTTCAACATGGACTACTACTGGAGCCTAGACTACCCCGCCGCGAGCCCCATTGAAGTAAGTCCATGTCTCCCTGTATGAAGAACTCCTTCTGACCGCCATAAGAAGAAGCAACTCGATCCAGCAGCACTCTCAGAGCGGGACAGGGTCAGTATCCCGGCTGAGCTGTCCGCATTCAACGGTCGTTACTATGTCGCCTACGTGCTTTACGCACCTCTCTACCTGACAGGACCCATCCTGACCTTCAATGACTACATCTCCCAACAAAGATACGCCCCACCATCACTCACTACCGCAAGAACAACCCTCTATGGAATCCGCTTCTTCCTCACCTTACTCGCGATGGAGCTGATCCTCCACTATATCTACGCCGTCGCTATCTCCAAAGCCTCGCCCGACTGGTCGCTGTACACTGCCGGCCAACTCAGCATGCTAGCCTACTTCAACCTGCACATCATCTGGCTCAAGCTCCTGATCCCATGGCGCTTCTTCCGCTTCTGGGCCCTGGTGGACGGCGTCGACCCGCCGGAGAACATGATCCGCTGCGTCTCCAACAATTACTCCGCGCTGGCGTTCTGGCGCGCCTGGCACCGCTCCTTCAACCGGTGGATCGTCCGCTACCTCTACGTCCCGCTGGGCGGTGGCAGCGGCGCCCGTAGCAGCAGCCGCGACTCCTCTTCGTCCGGGGTGTTCGCCAAGGGCCGCAAGATCTTCAACACCCTCATCGTGTTCACCTTCGTCGCGCTCTGGCACGACATCAACCTGCGCCTGCTCATGTGGGGCTGGCTCATCACGTTGTTCGTGCTGCCCGAGGTCATCGGCGGCCTGCTCTTCCCCGCCAGTCGCTGGCGCTCGCGGCCCACCGCCTACCGCGTGATCACCGGCGTCGGGGCCGTGGCCAACGTGCTGATGATGATGGTCGCCAACCTCGTCGGCTTTGCTCTGGGGATCGACGGGCTCAAGGGCCTGGTGGCGTCGATCCTGGGCTCCTGGGCCGGCATTGTGTATATCATCACGGCGTGCGGTGCGCTGTTCGTCGGGATCCAGGTGATGTTCGAGATTCGGGAGGAGGAAGCCCGCGCGGGCATCAACCTGAAATGTTGATCCCCGCCGCTGCTGTTTGGTTATTGTATCTATCTATCTCATGTAGTACATCACCTATATGTGTCCGACTTCAATCGAGTAAACCCCCAATTCCAGACCGGGCTTTCTCGTTGTTCTCATGTTTCATTATATCTCGACTTGGGTGGTAGTGTACAAATACACATATAAAAAAGAACCAGCATGGTATATTGTAAACACAGGCATAGTAATAATGTCCAGTGGACTGGTTTCCAAAAAAAAACGCCCCCAAAAAACCAAAATGCACCCACCCTCCGCCTACAATTCCCTTCACACTTCCCACATTTTGACTCCTTCCATGAGGTGGAGTAACCCGCCCCCCCCAAAGATCAAAAGAAAGCCCCACACCTCGAATCCTCATGCACCTTATAGCACGCCAGCCCGCACGTCCGGGCGTGGCAATTCTTGCACCGGATCTTGCCCCAGTACCCGCACATGCAGCAGAAGTGCCGCTGCGAGCGGCGGGGCGCGATCGGCGAGCCCGCGCGGGCCGCGTGGTACGTCAGCGGCGGCTCGGCCAGCAGGGCCTGCATGATGCGCTCGGAGGGGGCGGCGGGGAGGTACGAGCGGAGGAGCGGGTTGGAGTCGTGTTCGGAGCGGATGAGCGTTGTGGTGTTTGGTTCTTCGGGGGCTTTTTCTTCCGGCTTCGGGGTGGGGTGGTCGTGGTCGTGGTCGGTTGTGGTAGCTGGGGAACCGGTGGTGGTTTCGGGGACGGGGACGGGGACGGGGGTTGTTGCTGGGTGGGTTGAGGCGTGGGAGGAGGGGGGTTGTGGCTGCGGTTGTGCTTGGGAAGGGGGTATGGAGGGTTGTTTCTTCGTGCCGCGGTGGTGGTGGTCGCCTCGAGAGGAGACCGGGGTGGAGCTGCGGCGGAGGGAGGACGGGGTCGTGGCTGCTGTGCTGGGTTTCGTGATTCGGTGGATCGAGCCTCTGTGGCCTGTTGCACTACCGCCACCGGCGGCTGCTGCTGCTGCTGCTGCTGCTGAGGAGGAGGAGGGGGGGTTTGTTGCGCTGGTGTTTCCTGGCGTGGCGGCGGCGGTGCTGGCTTGAGCGGCTTCTTCGTCGTCGAGGTAGTTGCGGAAGGTCTTTTGGGATTGGAGGATGCGGCGGACGTTGGAGGTTACCTTCGTGCGGGTTCCTGATCATGGTTTAAGTAAGTTTTTAGTTGTTCAGGACTGTGGTCTGAGAGGGGGGTTTTGCTTTGCGGATTGTGAACGAGATGTCTGAGTCTTGCTGTTGCGGTGCAGCGCACAGCGAACTGCTCCGCTTTGGTGTTCAACAAGGGAGGAAGGGGAGACGTACCTCGTGGGGCAGCAGGCTCTTTCTGTCTCACGGGTATCTGGATCTGTACATCGCGATGGTTCTCGCGGTCAAGTTCGGCCAGATGTCGGATGATCGCGTTGGTCTGTCGGGAAGAGAGATCTGTCCGGCCTGGGTCCCGGATGCCGCGTTTACGACCGATGGTGGGCGTGATGGCTGCTTTGGCGGGGTCGAAGCCTCGATCCGGGACGTAGGTCCAGCCCGGAGTGACGTGGGTTGTCGACCCGGGAAGAAGTTCAACGCGATACATCGTGCCTCGTGTGGTGGGTTGTTGAATTTCTGCGATGGCGCATGCACGATAATCGGGGAGAAATCGCGGCGATAAGAGCGAGAATACAAAATGAGGACTGGCAGAAAAAGGCGGTGAGAGCTCTTGTTTGATGGGTTTGCACTGCAGGTCTATCCGATGACGCCGACAGTCTGTCTCGCCTCCCCAAGTCCAACGCGTCGTCGCTGAGAGTATGGTACAGTAAAGTATGGAGGACATCGGCATGTCTTTGGAAGCGACTTCATTTCACATTGCACATCCCTTCTGATGTAGAACCTACTCGCATGCGTAGATCTGGCATACACCTTCACAATGCAATACAGTCTTTTATTGACTGGGTTTTTACAATGCTCATCCCCCGTAGAAACTGCATTTCAGATGGAAAAAAAAGGACCCAAAATGATATGCTAAGACCCGTGGCGAGGAACTCCTGCAGAAGCATGTTGAAAGCAAACAGACCCTTGATAACTGAAGAGAAGAAATAGACGACAGGAAAATGCAATGCTAGGTTATTTTTTCTTCAGTTGGTCGACCTTGGTTTCTAGCTCGTCGATATAAGTCTGCAGCTTCTGGGTAGCTGTTTGGAGAGCCTGGGAGCCACATCAGCAAAAAGGAAAGTCACAAGGCAATTCGCAGCGAGAAACGTACGTAGATATCTTCGGTTAGCATCTCGTTGGAGATTCTGTACTCAGCCAATATGTAGTAATAGACGACAAC